TCTCTCCAACGCTACGCTAGCTCCTAATAGCGCCCAGCGTTGAAGACCACTGCTAACACTACTACTACTACTGCAGCTCTCCTCCAGAGTGCTGCTGCCGAATCCTGAAGACTGCCACCTGCCTCCTGCACGTGAAGTGCCTGGGAAGTCCCTATGAACTACCTCCTGACTACTTGCAGCCTGCAGGGCGGGCCAGTCTTATATAGTGCTGGCCCGTCTAGGAGGCTGCTCTTGCCAATGCCAAAACGTGCCAGACCCTGGCGTTGAAGTTCAAACAAAGGTTGTCTTGAAAAAAGGCCCAAAATGGTCTGTGCTAAAACCCTGGTCTGCTGCCTACGTTTTAGGGCAGGTCGACTTTATGAGGGCTTGACAATCGCCCTGGTTTTCAGGCTTTTAGGCTGAAACGACACAAGGCCTGTAGGCCCTCGTTTTCAGGCTTTTTAGGCTGAAACGACACAGGGCCTGTAGGCCCTCGTTTTCATGCTTTTAGGCTGAAACGACACAGGGCCTGTAGGCCCTTGTTTTCAGGCTTTTAGGCTGAAACGACACAGGGCCTGTAGGGCCCTGAATTTCCGTCTCGTCGGGCCCTGCAGGCCCGTGTGGCTGTGCAGTATGCCACAGTCTGCGACCAGGCCCACCTGTGTTGGTACGAGCCTGGGCGCTTTTGGTTGGGCACGTCCAGGCAGCGGTCCAGGCTCCATGTGTTTGTCGCATTCTCATTGGCTCATGGGTGTTGTGTGATGACAATGCTGCTTTCTCATTCGTCTGCGGCCAATGCGTGATGTGTCGGCCTCCCACTGTGTGTGCCCAGGGCACAACCAACCGGGGCCCTGGGCTCAACTGTGCAGCGCACCTGTTGCTTCTGGAGGAGCCAGGAAAGGCTCACGTTGCTTTGTAACCAACTGGCGTGCTGCAACTGTCTGATACCCCACATATGGAAAAATGTGGATAGAAGGCCTCACGTGGATATTCAGGCCCGCCTTCACTTAGTGCGGGCACAATTCTTGCTGGGGGCCACAGCCCAGAACACTTGCATGTGTGTAAGGGCCCCGTGAAGACTCAATTCTCGCATTCCATCCCATTTAGCTTCGAAAGTCCGCTGAGATGCCTCTACACAGGTGCTTTCCCCTTCAGTCTTCGTTCGTACGCAGCCACGATCTGAGGTCCCGTTCTGACGAGCTCCTCTCTTGTGAAACAACGATCTTTTTTTGGATCGGTATGATGCCTGAATCTGACCCGGTACTCCCTCATAGGTTTGGGCGGTCTTCCCCTGCCCACAGGCTTGGGAACAGGCTAGTCTCTATGTTCCACAATGTCGTCGACATCCACATTGTCATCCATGGTTGGGGACAGCATTGATCTCCTGGATGGGAACTGATTTGTCTCAGCGAAAGGTTCAAGCTTGGAAGCGTGGAATACAGGGTATGTGCGCAGATGACCAGGGATTCTTATGATATATGAGGGTCCATCCAAATCACCACCCACAATATCCAGGACTTCCCAAGGACCAAAATACTGTGGCATCAGCTTTCTAGAGATTCCAAATTCCTGACCCAGTTCACTAGCCTTTACCCAGACGCGGTCCCCTACCTGAAATGTGGACTGTCGTCCGTGTTTGTTCTCAGAGGCAATCATTGCTTCTTGAGATTTCCTGATGTGTTCGACAGCCTGCTGCAACAACTTCTCATAGTGGACACCAAACTCTATGGTTCCAGGTGTTGCAGTTGGTCGGTTTTCAGGAAGGAGGAAGTCTCGCGCATGTCTAGGCTTCCAACCCGAATGCAGCTGATTAGGACTGACACCAGTGGTGTTGTGTTCAGCGTTATTGTACAGGCTGGCAATGAGAGGCAGTTTCTCATCCCAGTCATCGTGGCTGGGCTTTATATAATGCTTCAGCAAATGCTGCACCACACGGCTCATCTGTTCCGCTTGGTCGGTGGCTTCGGGATGATTCCCCTAAGTCAATTGAAGATGAGTACCCATTTGTTCAGCGTCTTTCTTCCACATCTCACTTGTGAACCGGACATCTCTATCACTAACGATGGTCTTAGGCAGTCCAAAGTCACACACCCAGTTACCCATAAATAACTCGATGACGTGTGTGTTCGGTCTTGGCTGTCTCAGGCATGGCAATTAGTCTAGCGTACTTGGTGAACCTGTCCACTATAACGAAGATATGCCGTTTGCCAGTCTTGCTGGTCACAAGAGTGTCCATAAAATCCACGGAGACACTTTGTCCTAGACCCGCAGGAATGGGCAAGTGGAGCTTAAGTTCGCGGCTTGTCCCGTTGACAGACTTGACAAGTCTGAACATACTTCTTTGCATCGTCTAGCATACTAGGCCACCAGAAACGTTGAACTACATTTGCACTAGTCTTCTTGTAGCCGAAGTGACTAGTTGCATCATGACACTCCCCTAAAAATAATCTATGTAGAATCTCACTAGACGAAACACAAAATCTCTTAAACCTTGCCTTTTCAAGAAAGATTAACCCATCCACCATCACAAACTCATCTGGTGCGGACTTATCTTGAGCCTCTAGTCTGCGGATGATGTCCATCATGACGAGATCTTCCTTATTGTACCAAATACCCTTACAAGGGTATTTGGCGTGCTTTTTGCAAGTCGCGCCGGTGCGGCCTCGTCCAAAGTTGACGGCGCGCTTGCGGGTGAGAGTTGAGTTAGCGCCCGGATGAGCAGCGCGCGCGGGCGTGTTGACGGCGAGGTGCAACCCTGCGAAGCCTGGGTGTGTGCGGCATCACCGGCCAGCGGGACGCGTGGGCCCCTCGCCCCCTTGCTCTTTCTTGTGTCCCTCGCGTTTATTTCTATTTTTATTATATATGTTATTATTATTCCTATTTTTTATGTTGTTGACTCAGGCGACCGGTTCCACGACTGACGTCAGGACCTACGGGCCCGGCTCACCTATTACATTGTCCAACACAGGTGGCCGACACGACAGTCGTGGACCTTGAGCATGCATCTTTTTTGGCAGGGCCATTCGGGTCTCCTGCGTGTCAGGGAAGTTGGCAAAATTCCTTTATCCTACCCAATTTGGAAGCACGGACAGAACAGGTCAACATTCTTGAGAGCGGTGGGGTCCGTGGTCGTGGCTTCCTTCACTTCCCATTTGGAGAGCGTCGATAGCCCAGAGTGGAAAGAAATTGGAGGACATTCCGAGTGGGCCTGTGGGACTGCAGCCCAAGGGTGGCGGGGGCCGCTGTGGGGCACCGTCTGCCAGCCACGATCTGTTGTGAGAGGTTTGAATGTGAACATGCCCACAAGGTCCCGCTAGATGGTGAACCATGTCTGGGCACAGTCGGCGGGGGCCGCATTGTGGCCCTGTTCGCATGTACCCCCCCCCATACTTCGGTCTTCAATAGTCTCAATTGAATCTTGGTTGCTACCACCAAAATCTGTGTTGGGGCCCACTTCACCCAGCCTTGCTGCAAACTCCGCGCCCTCCTGCTTGCTGCAGCGTCGGAGTAGCCCCGACGGCCGTGCATAGGTCGTGCGCTTCAGTGCTGCTCATTTTCCGGGCTGATAGATTCGGCAGATGAGTTTGTTGCACATTCCGAGCGGATTTCGACTTCCATGACCACCATCCTGCTGCCTGTATAGGCTGCCACTCCCTTGCGTTGTCTCGGTTAGCGCACAGTTTGGCACCAGCTTGGAGACAAGTAAAAAGGGGGCAGAGGTACCTGGGCACGTTTCCGCACCAGGTGCATTCGCAGATAAAGGAAGAACGTGGCGATGGGAAAAGTTGCTATGGCGGGAGCAAGGATCATGTTACTTACCCATTCCTTGATGGAAACGGGTGAGTAAAGAGATTAAACAGGGGTTCTTTGGCCGGCAAGTCGAATGGTAGGGTCAGAATGGCAGGAGAGCCAGTAGAAAGGGAGGTTAGCAGAGAAACGTGTGCGTGGAGATGGCGGGGAACAAAGGAGAAGAAGGGTGGGAAACACATATCGCACCTGTTTCTTAGCAGAAACGAGCAAGAGAGGATGCGATTTTGGGGTTTTAGCCCTGTGCAAATCGATTGGTGAGGTTAGATTGGTCGGTAGATCAATAGTTTTGGTGTTGTGTGGATGGTGAACTGCACGTGAGGTTGGAGCGCTTCGAATAAGAAAGGGGTAAGATGTCATGCACGATTGAAGGAGGTGAGTAGGAGAGTTCGTTCTCATTTTGCCAAGTTTGGTGAGTAGGGGGTGTTTGATAAGAGAGAGAGAGCACTTACCCAGGAAGGTTGAGGATGCAGGAGAATTGAATACTCACAAAGCGCTGCACATTCCCATGTTCTAGTGAAAGATTCAGTCATGGACCTGGCTCGATGGGAGGTACTGCAGCGAGTGACTTCAACAACACGTATTTCTTCTGCTTTCTAGCGGGAGATTCATACTCTCTATCTCTCTGCGCGGATGGTTGGCAAGCAGTGTATATTTCCATGTTCTAACGAAAGATTCATGCCCACTCTGAAAGTTGGAGAATGAAGGAGCGCAACCCTCTTGCTGCCTATCCCTGTCGGAGATAGGGACCTCATCCCAGTTCGCTAGCCATTTTCGACCACTGAGACGTTCATCTTCGGGCTTATCGTTGTAGCTTGCCGACGCGCTAGTTATTGTGGACGCCCTTATTCAAGGTGCTGGTGTTGCATGTGCGGTGCTTGTTCTCAATACATCGCCTTGACTTTTTTTTTTTGGAACTGCACGTGCGTGCGCATGGAGAGAGAGAATGATGGCCTACCTGAGAAGACTAGCGATACAGAAATAATCGAGAATTGAGCTACGGAAGATTCGGGCTCATCGTGCATGTCTGAAGAGGGTGCTTGTTGCGGGCGATAAAGAGGAAGAGGGAGAGAGACTTACCTCTTCCCGATGTTGTGGACCGTGGTGGTCATCACGCTGCTGGTAGTCGTCTCCGCTCATTGCTTTTCTGCTCGCGGTCGCCGCTGAAGCCAGGCTGGTCGTTCCATGGCCGCGACTTCCCTTTTGAGCGCAGTCGCTCCCTTGGCCCGTGTTTGTTCTCCTTGTCTGAATTCGCATGAACCTGGCTCTGTCATATGACCAGGTGCATTGCGGAAAGCAAGAACTTATTGTGGAAATCAGGCAATTATCAAGGAGGCAGCCAGCCTGAGCTAGGCAACAGAGAGGAGAGGGGCTCACTTGTTGGAACTTGCTGAGATACTCAGGCGGAGTTTGACTCATGATGGAGGATAACGAGTGCCATACCGCGTGTACAGCATGAACTGAGTGAACCAGAGAAAGGGGCAGCCGAGAAAGAAGAGGGAGCGAGAAAGACTGGTAGCGAGCAGAGTAGGGAGAGAAGGGAGGCAGTAGTGTGGGGCCAAGAGATTCATCTGGTGGAGTTGTTTGCGGTCAAGAGGTTGGACGTTGCTGGCCATACGATAGGTCACAGGTCTTCGTTGTTGTTTCTTTCTTTTTGGGTAGACCGTTACTGTTATTTGGTGGCTACTACTGCTAATTCAACTGCAAGTTGTTGCGACTGTGGGAGCGGCATACTCTACTCCATACGCTACTACATAACAACGTCCTACAGTTGACTTCAGCAGCATGTTTTTGTTGAGTTATGGTAGCACGCTTGTTAACCACCTGGCAGTACGCTTATGAAAGGTAAAGAAAACGATTGTCGTATATTCTTTGTGCACTTTTACTCAAATGTGGCCGTCGGGTTGCGCAGTGAAAGTTGGAGTCGGTTTGAGTCGGGTTACTACAAGGCTACTTACCTTTGGAGTGTTGATCATTGCTATGTTCCTCACCGCCAAAAGGATAAGTCGGATTGTTGGTTGCTCTGTTTTCAGCAGCTACTACGACTGTGTCCCTGGGTGTCGTTGTTGATGGGTCCTGTTGTGCACAGCCACTGAGTACACAGTGTTTTGTTGTGCCCTTACTGTGTGACACCGCAGCTGCTGCAATTTAGTATTACGGCAGCTTGCAACTGTTGCACACTGCAACATTTTTCCTACATTCGAATAAAACACAGGTGGATTGTGCTCTATTTGAAAGCGAACCTTCTAGGTTACATTTGGCCTAAGGGGAGGTACAGTGATTTTGAGGGAGAGACCCGAATCTGCAAAGGAAAGGGCGTCACCGTTGCGACTTGGTTGGTCATCGTTTTAGTCATCTTCGTGGCGTTTGAATGCGGTTCGGATGTTTTTGTTGCGGTCTGGTCGCCATTGTGGGGCCCTCAGGCGCACCAAGGTTTCTAAGCCCGCTCGTGCGAGTTTGAGTGCATCCCTTTTGGGTCTTAGCGACTAAAAGAATTTATCTCTGCCTTTCTTATTCAAGGTCGGGTCTATTGGTTCAGAGAGAAAGGCGGCAGGCGGGATTGAAACCCGTAATCTGTGTCAAGGCCTCTATGGGAGGTTCGCCCCACCGATTGCGGGAGCTCTGTTGGGGTTCAGGCGGGACCCTGGAGGCAAGGGACTTTAAGGTAGGCCGATGCAATCTCCCTTAGGATCCCGTATACCCCTATCTATATCACCCTTTATTCAGTTCTTCAACTGAATCAGCGAAAATTTACTATGCTTGTTTAATTTCATTTTGCTTAAAATGGAATCCAAGATGTTTGCTTGCGATGATTTGAAATGGGGCTGGAGATGAGGTCCTCATGACTGATCTGGTCACTTTGCTTGTTTGCCTAAGACATTGAACTAGGGTTGGAGATGAGGTCCTTTTGACTTATCTGGTCTCTTTGCTCATTTGCCTAAGACGTTGAACTAGGGTTGGAGACTAGGTCCTCCTGACTGATCCGGTTGCTTTGCTCGTTTGCCTAAAAAATTGAACTTAGGCTGGAGATGAGGTCCTCCTGACAGATCCGGTCGCTTTGCTCGTTTGCCTAAGACATTGAACCGGGGCTGGAGATGAGGTCTTCCTGATTGATCCGGTCACTTTGCGCGTTTGCCTAATACATCAAACTGGGGCTAGAGATGAGGTCCTCCTGATTGATCCGGTCGCTTTGTTCGTTTGCCTAAGACATTGAACTGGGGTTGGAGATGAGGTCATCTTGACTGATCCAGCCGCTTTGCTCATTTGTTTAAGACATTGAACTAGGGTTGGAGATGAAGTCCTCCTGACTGATCCGGTCGCTTTGCTCATTTGCCTAAGACATTGAAATGGGTTTGCAAGTGAAGTCATTTCAACTGATCCGGTCACTTTGCTAAGCCAATCAGTTTTGCTCGTTGACAAAGGTCTGATTTTTCTCCTTGTGAGAATAGTCCAGGCTAGTGTGTTAAGGATTGCATGGGGTTTGACTGAGAACAACTTGGAAAGTTAAAGATTAACTAAATAAGATACAGAACTCGTGTCTTTGTGAATCAGGACAAGCAAAATATAAAAACTTTAGATGAACGAACCCTTGTTTTTGAATTGGTTGAATGGGTTGTTGACATGACATGCTTGCTAGCAATACCTTGTCTTTTGTTAAAGTTCTGTCTGTTTTTTTTGCTTAGTTGGGTAGTCTGTTAGTGCTCGCGACGTGCTGGAGCTATTGGAGTTAGTTCAATTCCTGCATTTTCCGAGTTAAGTTTATTCTGGGATCACTTATTTTACTTGCCTCTGTATAAATTTTGGAAAGCTAGTTTTCCTACGGGAAGCGCTACCGAAATTTCTACAAAACCAAGGAGGTAGTCAAATTCTGATTTTCAAAGTTTAACTTTTGTCTGAGTTTTATGTCTGGCTTAGTTAAAATCTGGGAAGTCTGCTTTTCTAGGGTAGGTGATGCCCAAATTTTTACTAAATCGGGGATTTAGACAAAATTTGACTTTATGAAGTCAAGAGTTGTTTCTGAGTTTTATATTTAGCCTCGTATAAATTCTGAAAAGACATTTTTCCTACGGGAAGCGTTGCTGAAATCTTCTTAGTTTTGAAGAGTTAGATTATTTTTTGGTAGGATAAGTTTTGGTGATCCGCCCTGTATAGGGGAGATGCTGTCAGAATTTTCCTTATTCTTTGAGGTTCATTTGAGAGAGAGATTTAAGATCTAGTCTTATGAGATTTTGAGTGAGATGTGATATGGCGATTTATTCTTCATATGTCTCTATATGTTTAAAGTTGAAGTATTTGGGATTTGACCTGTGTTGTGTAACAGGTCCTTCTTGGCCGTTTTGATTTAAGATCTGACTAGTTCAGCCCAATCCTATGAGGATCGTCTTCTGTTATATTTTGATAACGAGTCGGTTGGTTGATTGTCGACTTGTCAGCTTAGGACACAACTTTGCTTACACCTGTACCTCAACTTGATGCTTTAGCCCTGAGATTTGATGTGTTTCTTTGATGGTTTTAACCAAACTTCTTTTAATGGTCATTATGAAGAACCGATGGGGTTCTTAATGGAAAGTTGAATAATGGTTGGGCCTTGAGTATGTGAGGCGTGGTGTGAGTTACAAGGAACAGTAAAGTTGACCACATTGGTGTATAGCAATGTGGCTTTCGTATGTGTATGTGCTTTATGCACATTAGTATTTGGAGCTTGGTATACGAGCCTTACCTTGGAGGCAATGAGAATGACAACCATGTGTCGCGTGATCTGCATACCTGATGGGTTTATTTTTCCCCTTTTTATCTTATCTCGAGTTCTGATCTTAATGTGGTTTGAATGTATTTTCTGATTGATTTTGCTTGTTAATTTTTATAATTGGACGTTGAAGTCTATGGCGGCCGTCACCTTGACCTGGTTGCGGGCCCCGATGAGGTAGCTCGTCTCCATAGTCATAAGCGTTGACCACCACAGCGGGTCGGAACCTGTCTGCCACCTACTCTCCATAGGGTGCAGAAGAGGGTAGACTTCTCAATCACCTTAGAGGTTATCTAGCGTCAAGAGTTTAACCCCTCAAGGCGCATGTCAGTTGATACTTGAGTGTCGAACGCGACACTCGAGACCACTGAGGGCCACGCGATTATGGGTACTACATAGTACGCCGCACGATATTCATTCTGAACAGTCTATACGACTGCTTGCGTATTTAAGCATGGCTAGTCGATACGAGTAAGCCTGCGCCCGCGCGATATTTATTATGAGTTTCACGCACGACGCCTAACCGATTCAGTGTTGGGAAGGTTATGGGTCAGATAATAAAGGGACTAGGAGTGTTTGTGTGAGTAATTTGATTCTTCATTTTTGGCGTGGTGTAACGCGTGGTAGGAAGGATGCGTCCTAGTCGGCCGGCAACGAGTCGCGCTTGGGACTTCAGCCCCCCAGTACGTAGCCTCACGTGCGGGTATGATAGAGGTGTGCGACCTCGCGTACCCCGTATGCAACAGCACACGAGAAAACACCCTCGGCTGGTCCACCTTTGCGATCGTATGTAAAAGTTTTCGTACTGTGGACTGGTAGCTCAGCGAGAATACGCCCATCCAAGGGATGGTAACAGCTCTCGCGGGTGGAGGTAAGTTGTACCTCTCGTGACCCTATCATGTCGTAGGGGTTCACGAGAGGTATGGCTGGCGCACTTGGCTAGAGCGGCAACGCTTTGCGACAAAGTCCTGCAAATCCTGCGTGACGCGGCCAGGAGGGTCCCCCTGTGGGACCGATGCGCTCGACAACGTCCACCATTGATCGAGTTACTTCGTTAGATAGGCCAAACTGAGTAATTAGCACACCTAGGCAGTCTTCCCTACATGACAGCGCGCCAACAACCTTATTGTACTCTCCCTTCACATAATCCAGCTTGAAGTCATATTGATCTATGACTTCGATCCAACGTTTGAGTGCATCAAAAAGAACAGGTTGCGGGGCGGTCACCGTGCTATAGTTCTTTACAAAGTTACGATAGTAGCCGATCATCTCTAAGAAAAATTTGACCTCGGTTACAGGCAGAGGTCGTGGCCAGTCATGAATGCTAGCCACCTTCGCATCTTCAGGCCTTATCCCTTCCCCGGATATCTCATGACCTAAGTACAAGATTTTAGTGCGCCCAAATTCGCATTTTTCTAGATTAATCTTATAGTTGTGATGTCGCAGGAGTGAAAATGCAGTTTCTACATGTTGAGCATGCTCCTCGACTGTTCTACTGAAGATAAGAACATCGTCAAGGT